TCAGAAGATGCGCCGCTGAAAGTGGTAGTGAAGAGCTTGGTGAACCTGTCCAATCTCCACAAGGCATCAGCAGACATAGCTGCTCCATCACCGGTCTGAGCTACCACACCCGGCTGAACTGCTCCAACTGGTTGAGCTGCTAGAGTCTGAAACTGGGGAGCCATCTGCTCTGGAGTGCGGGTAACGGGAGTCTGGGCTCCTCCTCCAGCCTAAGAGACTGCTGGTGCTATAGGAAGCAAGCCTGCCCGGGTGACACTCTCCATAAGGCCCACTAGACGGACCAGAGCATCCTGAAGTACTGGGGTAGAAATGAACCCCTCTGGGACCCGAGCTGGGCCCACCGGAACTGCCTGGGCCGAAACCTCATCATCAAACTCAACCTGAGGCTCCGCCGCTGGTGCTGCTGCTCTGGGATGAGCTCTGCCCCTGCCTCGGCCTCTAGCACGGCCTTGGCCTCGTCCTCTGCCCCTCGTGGGAACTGCTGCTGGGGGCTCGGGCTGCTGATCAGTGGATGAGGAATCGCGTGTTCTCGCCATCTGCGAAAGAACTTAGTAGAAATTCAGTTAGCATTGAGAAACCAAACCGCACGACAGGAAAGAATAGATGTGAAGTTTTTCCTAACTCTATAGCCTATGGGGGATAAATACAGACGTCTCCCTACCGATCCCTCAAACTCTACTAAGCTTGCCCGTGAATTGTGAGACCTAAGTAACCTAGAGCTCTGATACCAACTTGTCACGATCCAGATTTTCCACCCTCGGGAGTCGTGATGGCGCCTACTAGTGAAAGCTAAGCAAGCCAACCATTTCTACTATTTACCTTTTTCCCATTTTAATCCTTTAACAATTAAGAACCAACATTAAATAATCAACGAAATTTAATAAGCGGAAGACTGAAATGCAATATTTTAACAATGATGCCAATACGGATCCATAACATAAACTACCCAGAACTGGTGTCACAATTTCACAGACTGTCTAAGAATACTACAAATAAGGGCCCAAAAGATAAATACAAAGCTGTCTTTGAAATACATAAAAGAAACAGAATGAAAGGATAGAAGGAGACGCCAAGGCCTGCGGACGCCTGCAGGACTACCTCGGGTCGCCTGATGAACTGGAAGCAGCAACCTCACTGCGGTCCGAAAGCTACAGTATCGGGATCTGCACAAAAGAGTGCAGAGTGTAGTATCAGCACAACCGACCCCATGTGCTGTAAGTGCCTAGCCTAACCTCGGCGAAGTAGTGACGAGGCTAGGACCAGACTACCAAATAAACCTGTGCAGTTAAATCATATGCAACAGAAAAATAAAGGCAGAAATTTACAATTTAAAAGTAAGAAGGGGGAAAACATGCTGCGGGGAAATCAAGTAACAACAGAAAAAGATATAAATAACCGTAAAGAACACCATAACTCAATTATCAAAAATAATCAGGAAATCAAGACAAGTGCACGGCATCACCCTTCGTGCTTTTACCCTCGTCCTCACCAAATATTAATATAATCGGCACGGTATCACCCTTCGTGCTTTTACCTCACATAATCATGGCACGGAATGATCCTTCGTGCATAATCACTCATATAAAGGCACGGAATGGTACATTGTGCGGTACAGCATCACCCTTCGTGCATTAACACTCTCTCACAAATATCATGCATGGCATCACCCTTCGTGCTTTAACACTCTTCCTCACCCAAACAACAATCATAAGCAATAAGGGCAAGGAAATAAATAAAATCACAATAAAATCCCGGCCAGGAAACAATAGTACAACAATCATATCCCGGCAAGGGAAAACAATATCAAAAGCAACAACATCCCGGCAAGGGAGATAATCATTAAAAGCAACAACATCCCGGCAAGGGAGACAAAATCATAATCCTCTTCTCTTTTTCACATTTCCTTCACAAATCATTTCACAGCTTGAGCCAACGCTCTTCAATGTTCAATTGCCAACAATAATTCCACAAATCATTTCACAACTTGAGCCAACGCTCTCTTCAATGTTCAACTGCCAACAATAATTTCACAACTTGAGCCTACGCTCTTCAATGTTCAATTACCAAATTACTTCCACAAGCCTTGTTCAACAATAGAAATATCACATAAGGCATGAACAATACAAAACGGAGTCATATTAATCATAGCATAAGACTCACGGGCATGCTTGACACTACTTTGATTCAAAAGTAACCTACCGCCCTATTAGTTTACAAAGTCAACATCAGAGAGTATTCTTAACGGCTGTACTAATGCCGTTCGCCTTTGGTACTTCAGTAGGGCTTGCATACGAAGGGCTTGCGGGGTGAACGACATTCTGTTGTACTACTAACACTAGCTGTACTAGAGTAGTTTAGTAGCGCCTTTTGAATCAAAGAGGCTCACCCTTTCCGAAAGGCGAACAGCCTGCTTTGCAAGCAAATATATAGCCCCCGCCCCTTTGAGTCGTTGCGAGCCGGAAAGCGTACCGGCTGTTTGAGTCACGAAAGGAACAAGCAACGGATTGATTAAGCGTTAACGCGCTCAAGCCTATAGCGTTAGCCTCGCGCATCCGTTTTCTTGCTTGCTTAATCTTAATATTATTATAATAATATATATATAAATCCAACGTATAGATACTCGTCACCATGCCTATACGTCGTACTCAACAATTAACATGTAGCAAATATGACACAACTCCTAATCCCTTAAGCTAAGGTTAGACCAAACACTTACCTCGATGTCACGAACACAATTCAAGCCCCAACTATCGCTTTACCTCTTGATTCCACCACCAATTAGCTTGTATCTAGCCACAAGTTACCTAACTATATCAATAAATGCTGAATGAATCAATTATAATGCATGGAAATAGGTTTTTTAAAGTTTTTCCCAATAAGTCAAAAATCGACCTCGGGCCCACATGGTCAAAACCCGAGGTTCGAACCAAAACCCTATTACCCATTCACCCACGAACTCAAATATATGATTTGTTTTGAAATCGGACCTCAAATCGAGGTCCAAATTCCCCAAAATTCGAAAATCCTAAGTTCTACCCAAAAACACCTAATTTCCCCCATGAAAACCCTTGATTATGAATTGAAATCATGTAAAAAGATGGATTAGATTGAAAGAAATGAGTTAGAAATGACTTACAATTGATTTGGAAGAGTAATTGTCTTTGAAAATCGCCCAAAGGTGTTTATGTTTTGAGAAGGTTTGAAAAATGGCTGAAAATACGTCTAAGTGTCAATTAACTGGTCTCTGATGTCGCAATTGCGACCAGGGTTCGCAATTGCGAACCCCTCAGAAACTATTCACTTCGCAAATGTGAAGCTTTTGTCGCATTTGCGACCAAGTACAATTCCGGTCACCTTCGCATTTGTGAGGGACCCTTCGAAATGCGACATCGCATTTGCGATATAAACGTCGCATTTGCGACCAAGGTAGCCCGGGTCTACTTTCGCACTTGCGATACTTGTTCGCATTTGCGAGCCAGGCTTCGCAAATCAGACCTGCAACATACCAGCAATTTCCTAAGTTCAAATTTCACTCTAGAGGTTTCGCCCTTTCCGGCTCTTCTCCTCCATGCTTCAGTTGCCGAGTATGATTTGGTATAGTGGCCTATCCAAAACTCACCCGAGCCCTCGGGGCTCCAAACCAAACATGCACGCAAGTCCAAAAACATCATACAGACTTGCTCGTGCGATCAAATCATCTTGATAACATCAATAACTATGAATTTAGCATAAAAATTAAAGAAAAATCTCATGAACTCTTAAGTTTAAATCTTAACAACCGAAGGTTCGATTTACGTCATTTCAAGTCTGTTTCTTACCAAATTTTACATGCTCGACTTAAATATCATATAAGACTTGTACCGGGCTCCGGAACCAAAATACGGACCCGATACCATCTAATTCAATTACATTCAAATTTCTAAAAACTCTAATAATTTTAGTTAAACAATTTTCTTCAAAAATTCATTTCTCGGGCTTGTGACCTCGGAATTCGATTCTGGGCAAACGCCCAAGTCCCATATTTTCCTACGGATACGGGTCCGGGTCCATTTACCCAAAATGTTGACTGAAGTCAACCTAAATTCATTTTAAAAGCAAAATTTATTATTTTTCACAGATTTTCACATAATGGCTTTCCGGATACACGCCCGGACTGCGCACGTAAATCGAAGTGAGACAAAAAGGAGGCTTTAAGGCCTCGAAACACAGAATTTATTTCTAAAACAAGTGATGACCTTTTGGGTCATAACAGAAACTTATGCTACTATTCAAAATCTATCCGCTGCTTTATCCCGATTTCAACGCTAAGTCTTGTATTTTATTTAATTTATTTATTATTATGGGATCAAATCGATTCGCTTGACTATAATTCATGTTCAACAATACTGCTCTTTTAGCGCATGATACGGCTAGCAATCAAATTTAGATGAAAGAACAACTAGTGATTAGATATCTAATTATTTTGCTAAGCTCATCTTCTTCACTTCACTAATAATTGATTTTGTTCTTTTTCAATCAAGAAAAAGAGGTGAAAACGGGAGGTAGACTAGAGAAAGGAAGAATCAAACAAATAGTTAATTAGACTAATATTGATAATATTTGACTAATATTAGTAATATTTTATTAATTGACTAAGTATTAAATAGCATATTTGAACTGAAAGGTCAAGCATAGTATTTTTCACTTACTAATATCTTCAAAAGTCTTACAAAGCAAATAAATAATTTTCGCATTGGCATATCTACTATACACGAGTAAGATTTAGCAATTTTATAGGAATATTTTGTCAAAAATCAAAATGACATAAAGATATAGATATTTCAATTGTTCTTCCAATATTGTCCAAATTCCTTTGGAGCTAAAACTCATCCTTATAAGCTAATAACAATCGAGTGACTAGTCTTGATTCAAGTAGTAAATACATAGAACTCTTCAGTGAAGGAATTCCATCAAATGTCATCTAGTAATTAAAAAGCATTCTAATTTAATTATGAACATCATTAGTACTGAAGAGTCAATGGTAACCTTCATTTAACCTTTTAAGTACAGATTCACACAGTAACATAACAAGAACCAATAGCGAGAAACCAGAACAATAACACGAACCACAGTAACAAAAAAAGACTCTTACCCAATCCAGAAACATAATCACCAATTTTTTTTTTTTTTTTTAAAAAAAGCTATCTAAAGGAGGACATATATTAGGCACAATCAAACCCAGTTTCAGAATCTTATTAATTCCTCCAGCTTCCCTCGGATGCACCACCACCTCTTGAGTAGCGGGACCCACCATCACCTCCGCCATAACCACGGTCGCGGCCTCCTCCGTAACCACCACCATAGCCACCACCTCCACCGCTGTAGCCACCCTCACGTCTGCCACCTCCGTAACCACCACCATAGCCACCACCACCACCACCGCTGTAGCCACCACCACTGTAGCCACCCTCACGGCGTCTGCCACCTCCAAAACCACCACCACCGCTGCCGCTGCCGCGTGATTGAGCTTCATTAACGGTGATGTTACGACCGTCTAGATTCTGGCCGTTCATTCCTTCAATTGCGTCCCTCATAGCTTTCTCATCACTGAAGGTAACAAAGCCAAATCCCCTTGATCTTCCAGTCTCACGATCGTTAATGATCTGTAATCAAAATCCATAAAAAAAAAAATCAGATCTAAACAGATCTACATGAATTACAAACCAAAAACAAACAGATTTTGCACATGCATGCTAAAATAACAGTCCTCCGTTAAACACTAATAACAACAATTATGAAAAATCTTAATACAAGAGCAATCAAAATTCGACTCCATAAATTAAAACAGTGAAAGTTAAAAAAGGAAGAGAATCATAAAAGCTATCAATTGTTCAAATCTATGGAAGATCGGAACGTACCGTATAAGGGAATGGAATAACGTAACAGTAACAAATAGTAACATAGTACAGAGTGAATCAAGTAAACCAGAGAGTGAAAGTAACAGTAACAGTAACAGAGAGATCAATGATCAGATCGGCTCGAATCCGATCTCTGCTCTGCAGTGCAACAAACGGACCTTCGAGTCGACAACTTCGCCGTAGTGAGCAAAAGCATCTCCTAACGTTCTATCGGTGGTAGCCCATGCCAGCCCACCTACAAAGCACCTGTACTCAACCTCAGCTGCCATTGTTTTTCTTTTTTTTTTCTTTTTGAAAGAGATTATAAATGTAAACAAACAAGAGAGAGTTAATTAATTAAGAGAAGAGGAGCTGATGTGAATTCTGTGGGTAGCAAACGCTGGCTTTTATAGGCGTGAGGGGATTAAGATTTTGCTATGGCGGTTAATTTTAACCGGGTGTGCAATGCGCATGGGAAGGGGTGGTTACCGATTGCGACGGTAATGGATAACCACTGGTAGGCGGTACCTAACAATGGTTAAAATGTGGTGATTTTAAGGATCAATAGAAATTAAAGGCCGTTTGATTAATAGGAGATTTTTGGTTAGGTTTGAGGAAATTGAATCTCCACATAAATAATACTAGTACTAGTATAGATATATTATTTTATGTAGATTGGAAGGTAAAAATAAGAATGCGGATATTAGCAAAACATTATTTAAAATTCTAAAATGACAAATCTAATCTAATCCTTAAACTAGTCTTTGTAAAAACTATGTCTGAACCAAGCGACCATACACCTATAAAATATAGGGAGATATTGTTATCGAATAAAACATGTTTATACGTATATCATAATATAAATATTGTTGTGTTAATTATTCAGTTTAAAGGTAACATTACCTCAGATATTTTATCAACGAATTAGAAATATACCTTCTTTTAAATTTAAATTAAATATGATAGTAACGTGATCTACCTTTTATTACAAACAAAAGTACGTACATTAAATATGAAGATTCATTTTGAAATTATTCTTCTTTATGCATTTGAAGACTTTGCGTTGATCTGTTAGGCGAAGTTTCTAAAATAGCTTATTGAAAAGTAATTATTTTAATGGTGTTTTTCAGAAAAATATTCTAGGTAAAAAGCAGTTTAGGATTGATCAATTAATTGGAAAAATATATTTAAGCAGTAATTAATGTTAGGTCAAGTTTTTAAAATAAACTATATTTTTCATCTTAACAAAAGTTATTTTTACTTCTAGTCTGAAATACTTTTTTCTCTTCAAAAAATTTGATCAAGTACAAAAAATAACCAGAAAAGTTCTTGCGCTTAAAAGAAGCACGGCCAAACAAGTTATTACTATGGTTAAAATATCTGAGAAGCTTGTGAGATATTTTGGATTACGAGGACACGTAGCGCGGATCTGGAGATAAATATCGGCAACATCAGTTTCGGCGCTTTCGCTTTCCTGGCGTGACTTTAGTTGTGATTCGGTATTAGGTGCATCCAGCCAAAGATGCAAATGTTGACTATTGAAATTACTATCCTGCCCATCCTTTGGTGAAAAATTATTATCCTGCCAATTGTCGATTCATATTTGTTCGATGACAACTCTACTCTTTACTTTTTGGAAGTCTTCAAAAGCCCATCACTTATTTTTGGACATAAGAATTGCAAAATTTCAAAACAGGATTAAATTTCTTTTAGCTAGCGTCTGGCCATAGATCCCAAATTTATTTTGAAAAATTTGATGTGGGTGAAGTTTGGTTTGAAGATGAAAATGTGTTTAGATATACGTTTTCAAAACATATTTTCCAACTTTATTCTGAAAAAATATGTATATAATTTCCAAGTTTTGGGATTTTGGCCCAAATTCAGCTCACTAGTTGATTTTGTAATTTGAAATTTTTGATTTGGGATTTGGCCAAAATATGAGCAAAATTTATGGCCAAACATGAGTTTTGAAAATAAATCTCAAATTTATTTTGACAAAATTTATGGCCAAACGGGGCCTTAATGATTTGAAATTTCAGTTGTGTTTGGACATGTATATAATTTTTGGTTCTTTTTGAAGTTTTTTGTGTGACTTGAGTGAAAATTTGTTTTTTGGAGTTTTTCAAATTTTCGAAAATTTCCAAAATTATCTTCAAGTGAAAATTGAAAATTTTATGAACAAACGCTAATTTCGATTTTTTTTTATTTTTTGTAGAAAAAGAAAAGATTTCTCATGTCCAAACGGGCTCTTTAGTTTTTGGAAGTCTTCAAAAGCCCATCACTTATTTGGAAATAAAAAAAATGTCAATAATAATTTTTCATTTCTGATACTTAGGCCCCGTTTAGCCATACTTTTTGGCAACGTTTTTTCAAATCTTTTTTGAAAACATTGTTTGTTCATAGATTAATGATCTATTTTTGAAAAATTTGTGAAATTATTTTTCAAGTTCCCAAAATCTAGTTTAGGGTAGATTTTGGGTGAAACTTATTCTCCCACTCACAAAACTTCAAATTTTTTTCAAATAAAATGCATGTCCAAACATAATTTCAACTTCCAAAAATTATTTTTCAAAACTACTTCAAAAACTATTTTTTCAAGTATTAACTAAATCTATGTGACATGGACTATGTCCAAATGCTAGCTTAAATTAGTGGCAAGGTGTGAGATTTCGTTATTAATAGTGAATCAGACTCAGAGTACGGGTTTGGAAATATAATAATTAAATGGAGATATCTTACCATTAAAACAAGTGCTATCCCTGCTATAAAATTCATAATTATGTTTAAATATAAAAATAGGATAGTATTAATGAAAATGTAATGTCTTTGGGTTACAAAATAGTTACTAACTGAAGACAGAAATTAACGTGTTTTACATAGAAAAAAAATATTTAAATTAAGTAATTAAACGAAAAACGCTCACAAGGCGAAGCATAGAATGAACCTTTTTGTAATATTTTAGGCTTTCCTTAACCAATAAACAAAGAAAAGAAGAAGAAGAAAAGCACTAAGGTTATTACCAAGTAAACAAATAAAAAGCAGATTTTGCAACAAATCCAACAAAACTGAGCTTGCTTGAAATATCAGCAACATTGAGCAATTATCAAGTTTGCCATTGTACTATTTTAGAAAAGTTGGAATATTTCTGGCAGTGGGCATGATTTTGTGGGGAAGTGCACGGTTAGCCATTAATAATACATGTATTTATTTTAAAGCAACTGTTTAAAATGTCTTTAGTCTTTAGCCACTGCTTTAATAAATTTTACCTGCCCGGACGAAAACACCCTTCTGCTTATAAAGTTCAGGACCAAGTGTCCTGACTCTTGAACTTGTAACTTTAAGTCCAGGACTTCAGGACTACATGTTCTTAACTTTTGAACTTGTAACTCTAAGTTCAGAACTTCAAGACTACATGTCCTTAGCTTTTGAACTTGGAACTCGAAGTTCAGGATCACCTGTCCTTAATTTTTGTGCTTGTAACTCTAAGTTAAGGACTACTTGTCCTTAACTTTTGAACTTGTAAGTCTAAGTTCAGGACCAAGTGTCCTTAACTTTTGAACTTGTAAATGTAAGTTCAGGACCAAGTGTCCTTAACTTTTGAGCTTGTTAGTCTAAGCTCAGGACCTATTGTCAACTTTTAAGCTTGTTAGTCTAAGTTGAGGACCTATTGTCCTTAACTTTTGGGCTTCTTAGCCTAAGTTCAGGATCTATTATCCTTAACTTTTGAGTTTGTTAGTCTAACTTCAGGACTTCATGACCTATTGTCCTTAACTTTTGAACTTGTACTGTAAGTTCATGACCTATTGTCCTTAACTTTTGAGCCTGTTAGTCTAAGAAAACAAGTAATGAAAAAACAAGATGAAACTAGGCTAACCAGTCAACAATGTCATCAATCCTCTCAGGCCAGTGACATGTCAAAAGAGTAACAGTCCCACACAAAACATACATATCTACCTGTTCTGAGAAGCAACAAAGCTCACTATCTGCAAACTTGACTTAATTAAGTGCAACGAAGCAATTTAAGGCATATCAGTGGAGAACAATACATATCTCGTACGAAGTTTAGTGTAAAAGGAAGCATATAGAGAGATGTTCATCCAAGTTCAGACTTGATATCGTAATAAAACTGTTATATGAATTTGTCTTAATTAAATTCTTTTTAGATGGAAAAATTCAAAGAAACAAACTAATAAGCTCATGACGAAAAGTCAACAGCAGGAGATCTATTTGAAACCTCAACAGACGGCACATTCTTCTCCCTAACACATGAAAGAGATAGAAGAAAGGGTAACACAGTCTTTTCATATTAATTTTAATAGACTAGTGGCTACTGTTGCTAAGCATTAAAAATGCTGGATAAAAAGTAAATATCACTTTAAAAAGTGGCTATCCCACACAATTTTTACTGATGGGGGAAGTGCACGGTTAGCCACTAATAACACATGTATTTACTTTTAAGCCACTGTTTAAAATGTCTTTAGTCTTTAGCCACTGCTTTAATAAACTTTAACTGCCCGGACGAAAATACCCTTATGCTCATGTCCTTAACTTTTGAACTTAACTTCAGGACTTCAAGACTTCATGTCCTTAACTTTTGAACTTGGAACTCTAAGTTCAGGACTTCAGGACTACATGTCCTTAATTTTTAAACTTAACTTCAGGACTACATGTCCTTAACTTTTGAACTTGTAACTGTAAGTTCAGGACCAAGTATCCTTAACTTTTGAGCTTGTTAATCTAAGTTCATGACCTATTGTCCTTAACTTTTGGGCTTCTTAGCCTAACTTCAGGACCTATTGTCCTTAACTTTTGAACTTGTAACTGTAAGTTTAGGACCTATTGTCCTTAACTTTTGGGCTTCTTAGCCTAAGTTCAGGACCTATTGTCCTTAACTTTTGAGCTTGTTAGTCTAAGTTCAGGACTTCAGGACCTATTGTCCTTAACTTTTGAACTTGTAACTGTAAGTTCAGGACCTATTGTCCTTAACTTTTGAGCTTGTTAGTCTAAGTTCAGGACCAAGTGTCCTTAACTTTTGAACTTGTAATTCTAAGTTCGGGACCAAGTGTCCTTAACTTTTAAACTTGGAACTCGAAGTTCAGGACCAAGTGTCCTTAACTTTTGAACTTATAACTGTAAGTTCAGGATCTATAACGTAGCAGAAAACCAAATGTTATTTGTATCTTTTCACAAAAAAATAAGAATAATAATAATTGCAATTTACATATAAGATTGATGTCAAATTACACATCTCCAGGTAAGCATTGGGATATACTGAAATTGCGTGCTTTTGCTAATCGTGTTTGCATTTCCTGGAGGGTCGAAGGGAAAATTTCAATTTGGGCATTAGAGGAAGATGGGAAAACTGGCTTTACATGGAATAACATCATGAAGAT